CATATAATGCACGTTTTACATAATGGGGTATCGACTCCACAGTGTACATATTCCACGAAAGTTAAAATCCTGAATCGACCATCTTTAAGCTTGTGCAAAACACTACTTGACTTGTGTTATACTTATATTTTATTTATACAAAATAATAACAAAAATAGATTATTATATTACTTTATTTTCGATCATAAATAGTTTATTAACAAGAAATTAACGAAAAAAATTAGATTAACAAATAAAATATTTTATTTAATGTTTTGATTTTAAGCAAAACAAATAATATCATTTAATCGTGTATTTTCAATAATTTTTTTTTCTTTTGTATGTAATATTTGTATGGAATTTACGCAAAGGAACTATTAAGACATGTTAATATAATTTTATTGATAATCGTTTAATGTTTTAATTATCAAATTATATTGTGAGTGTCTGATAGCTTCAAATAATTATGTACTTAGTAAAAAAATGCCAATAATTACATTAATAGATCTTAAGAGTTTCACTAAAAAGTGTTTATTTTCACCATCACGTTGGTAAATATATTAAATCGAATTATATTACGCAGGTAAAACTGTACAGTTATAATGAAATGTAATGAATTCAATTTTAAAATATTTAAATGTATGTCAATAGATTACCAACCTATATAATGACAAAATGCTGTAAACAAATTTAAATTTTGGCTGAAAATCATGCTCATTGTTTGATCTATTCAAAATGGTGGGTGGCAAAATCATTTAATATCATCTAGTCATGGCGATCTATAGTTTATTATACTTATGTCAGGCATAAACTATGATGTTTTCCCTAATAACACGAATTGACAACACAGAAAAATGGCTAAATATACAGTGTATGTTTAAGTCGTGCAGTTATACTTAACATTATGTTGTGGTCGAATCGTTACTAAAGTTTTTTTTCTTTCTATTAGCATGACATTTTTTTACGAAATCGACCGTTTATATCTGTTTTGTCGTAGCAGATCATTATCAATGAACTTCAGCGTAAATAATTTGAAATATTTCCCAGTACCACGCTTCGCATTGGTAAATACGTCTCCTAAATTTTTGTCATATTTTTTAAACTTTACATAGTGTATTGAAATTGAAATAAAAAATGAATAATGTACACGATTTTAAAAACAAAAACAGAAAGTCTAATTTAATTTATTCAAACATCTGTTGTATTATTACGACGATTCGCTCGTAGTCAAGTATATTCAGTAAAGTTTTTGATAAATTCACCAAAACAAAGACTAAGTACTATTTTTTAAGTTTATGACATAAAGTGTGCAAATAAAATTAGTTTACTATATATCATTTTAAATTAATAGTTTAATCTGAAATATTTTCCGAAACATATTGCAAAAGTATATTATTAGGTGTATTTTTGTTATAACAAATCTCAACAAATCTCAACAAATCTCAATTTATATATACTTGTCATAGTAAAATATAGGAAAGATTTATAAAAAGATCATAAATGTAACTCTCTGCTCCATCACAAGTTACGCTTACAGGAGTAGATATACTCTTTATACATATGTTTTATATTTATAAGGAAATCAATAATAAAAAATAAAAAATTTATTTTTGTATCTGCGTTTGCATCTATAATTGTAAGTCGTTCTGATTGTATATAAAAAGTTGTTGATATTAAATTAAATTAAATATCATTAAACAGAAACAATTAATACGAAAAGATTATTCTTAATTTTTTACAAAAATATTATTTATACAAAAAATAAAACAATTTTTCTTTAGGTACATATAAAGTTTAACCATAGATATTTTAGAAAAAAAATATATACATACATAAAGTCGAAAAACCACGTTACAACACTAATTAGTAAAATGCACTGGTTCCCTAACAATGATTTGGTTTTCATAATAAAATCATAGTAAAATCATAGTTAATATCCATGTAATTCTAATTTTACTAAAATATTTACACAAAATTAATAACCAAAGCATTGTTAAAGAAATTGTGCATTTTACTCGTTTGTACTTTTCACTCGACGAGTGTGACATCCGGCATGAAGTTTAGGACAATATTTAAAACATGACTCAGCAATAAGTATACATGTCCAATAACATAATAAAAGCAACAATAATAAATAGTATAATTTTAATCATATTATTTAAAATTATTTTTTTACAATATAAAAATTATAAATCCAAATTAGGATATTTTTAATTGCGACGACTCCAAAAACCGCATACATTTAGTAGGTGAAAACCGCACATTTTATAATGATATATAATTTATTATTTATTATTTATACTACAAATTTATTCAAAAACAATTTATTGAGGTACAATGTATATAGGCATTGAAAAATTAAAAACATAAAATTTACAAAAATATATAAAAATATTTGAGGCTAACATTTTTTGCCTACGTTTTTTCAAAAAATTAAAATATAAATAAAAAAAAATTAAAATTGCCTCCTTTATTACTATCTTCTTCTTTTTCTTAGGGTTATTGGGCCTTAAGACCACCCCATGTCACAACCTCTATTACTATCAATAGTTTCAAAAAATAGGTTTTTTATATATATATAAACTTTACGTTATACCACGCGTTTCGGTCGATAAATGTACTGGTTATATTTCGAGCACATCAACGTGCGATCAGATAAGCTTTTCAATGTAAAAATTAACTTTAAAATTATATATGTATATAACATTCGTCTATATAAAATATACATTATTATTAATACATTAAATAGTGAGGTTTTTACCCATTATACGTGTGTGGTATTTGGCTGTACGATATATTTACCTAGCAATCCATAAAGTGTGTGGTTTTTGGATGTAATCATTAATTGCATAAAACAATTAATTTTTTTTTATTTAATTAAAAAAAAATCTATTATTTATTAAATAATTGAAAAAATATTAAATTTCAATTTATTTAAATATTATTTATTTACAAAAATATAATTGTGAAGTTCCAGTTTACAAACCAAATTTTTGAAGAGATATTCAAGATATTCAATATGATCACAAAAATAATAATAATAGATTAAAAGAACCAATGATGAACCAAAAACGCAGAAAGCGCATTACACAGAAAAGATTTATTGTTTCTTTGGAATAAAAACGAAACCTTTTAAAATTTTATCTAAATTTTATTAAAGATAATTTACTGCATAAGTGTTGAAAGATATAAAATTAAATGTAATATTAAAATCAAAATTTACCTTTGAGCAAGCCTATACTTTACATAAAATTAATAAATAATAAAATTAATTTACATTTGTGCTATGTACTAACCAAGGATGTATCCACGGGGGGGGGGGGGTCCAGACCCCCTCATTGAAATTTCTACATTCTCAACGATTTAATAGTATATAATATATTTTAATTTCCCACCAGATAAAATAAAAATTTTGGACCCCTCCCCATAAAAAATTCCCGGGTACGTTACTGATACTAACTATATAACAGTCCATAAATAGTGGATCTATTTATTATTTTTAATCCTTACGAAACATACAGAGTAATTTTAAAAGTTAATTAGAACTTAATTTTGAATAGCTAATATTAATCAGTTTAGAACTACTTAAGATTTAATAATAGTTTTTAAATAAAATTATAAAACATTTATGATATACATATTTTTTAAACATTATTTCAGAATACACAGTAAAAGGTCATAATCACAATGCAATCTATTTATGTTTTTTTTTTTAAATGTATCGATTTATTGAATATAGGTATTTTTTTTTTTAATTATTACTAGCTTGAGTACACTTTTAAACAAAAAAAATAATTATAATCAAAATAATTTTTCAATTTATTTTTAAAAACATTTAAAATTTGTACAATATAAAAAGCAAACATAGTTTTTTCTACAGCGGTAAAGGTAATACGAAATATTTTGAATCATTATTGTGTACTCAACTTGGATGTTATTTTTTTACTGTATTAAGGGCATATTTTGAAAAATTCAAATTTGTCAAAAATGTTCTTGTGTACATACAACAAAACAAAATTTTTTGAATGTATATTGGAATTACATTACATTACATTTTACAACTTTGCCTAAGGAAGTTTTGTTCTATCTTGAAAAGTGACTAATGGTGAGTAAATAATAGTATCTATGAAATGTGTGATTATATCAAATAGTACATTATAAAACCGTTGGTGGACTGAAAAATACTATAAAAACATATGTTGTCCTCTCAAAAAATAATACATTTTCAAGAAGTTGTCATAATTAATAAACAAATAGTTAGAGAATAGAAATAAATTAACAAATACTTACCCAGGAGTGTTATAATAGTTGTAAAATACGACCTGTTTCGAATTTCATCGTTAGGTATGAACAAAGTTTATAGAATCGCGTACACGGCTTTGTATACACCTAAAGATGAATTTTTAACACAAAACCGGTCGAACTTTACACATAATTAATACTCCAGACTAAGCTTTTTTTTTATTTATTTATTTCTATATATAAACTATTTATTTATTAATATTGGCAACTTCTTGAAAACTGATTATTTTTGAAAGGACAACATATGTATTTCTAGTATTTTTAACAGTCTACCAACGGTTTTACAATGTACCATTTGATTTAAAAAATTTTTAAATACTATTATTTACTATCAATTAGACAATTTTAAATATAGAGCTAACCTTACTTAATCAAAGTTATTTAGAAAAACATAATGAAATGTAATTTAATTATAAACTAAAAAAGCAGGATGTTATTAAAAAAATGTTTTTTAGTACGTGCACAAGAAAAAAAATTTACAAATTTGAAGTTTTTAAAATAAATGTAATATTAAGTTATGTATGCAGTAAAAAATAATCGAATAAAATTAAATTTCGTTTTATCTTCATTGTTGAACACACTACGTGTTTCTGAAACGAAAAATATGTTACTACAAGCGTACTCAATGGGAGGCCTACGCAATGAGGACATTTTTAAAATTATTTTCCTCCAAAAACCTGAATTTTATATCCAATAACCTAAAACAAATTGATGAAACCCAGATCTTGGAGGAGAAAATAATTTAAAAAATGTGATACTTGGGACGTCCCATATCGCGTTACTTGGTTCTACTTTTATGATTTATTTCAGAAACACTCTTTATACTTTTTACAATCCACTCGTGACCAACTCAATAAATAAACTGTCAACTCCTTGCTCTAAGTTGTAAGCACGGTCATAATATCGAGCAGTGTTGAGCCGTATTATTTTGCGTGTACGTTACGCTCAATTATGTCGTCGGCGCCGCCAAGACCTAGGTGATAAAATTCGTTTTAAAATTAGTAACGCGAACGAACTGGATCGCGTTTGTTACACAAGACTACTTACAAGGCGTATGGCTGGCAGTCAGGCTCGGCTATTGGCGTTGGGTTTGTCGTCGGTCTGGGCGTCGGCCGCTGATTCCGTACGAACGGTCGGAAGAACGAATGGAAAGCCCATCGGCTCCGGCGTTTGTGCGGAAGCTATATTGTTGTGCAAACGTTACTTGACGGTTTGGGTTTTCTCTGTACCACAACGGTCTCACACGGTGATTGCGGTAACCGCGGTAGTCTGCGGCAGTCGGAGTACCGCGGTCGTTCGCGGTGCGCCATAACCGTTGCTGGTTAGGTCCAGCGTGTTGAGACCAATCACGATATAGGCCGGCCCGACAAAGTTCACGTGCCCGGAGAAGTGTGTCGATTATTTGCAACGTTCGTCTGGGCAGGGGATTGTTGCCCACGCACCCGGTGGCTAAGTACCTACCGAGCTTCTCGTACACCTGATTCGGTGGACACGGGGCGGCTGCGTCTCCGTTTATCTGCAAGAACAACACCAGAATAACGTGTGTTGTAGTTATTAAATGCAATATTAAAGATCTTAAATTAAAGATTTTGGATTTCAAGAAGTCCATCGATTCAACGGTATAATACAACTGTAACGTTACACAACTAAGTACGACGCAATATGAACTAATATAGTTTCACGTCGAAATTTTTTTTTTTTTATTTTTTATTAAGGAAAAGTCTTCGATATCTGAGTCATCAACCTAAAATTTTACATAGATTTACTTAATATTATTTATATCAACATTTACATAATAGTAGTGTAAATTAGGCTTTTAAATTTAGTGGTGTTGTATAAACTGAAAAATAAATTTATGAATAATTGATTAACAAACGGCGAAAACAACAAAACAGAACTACGCATTATAATAAATATACTAGGATTACGTTTTCGAATCTTTTTCCGACTCTTGACAACAATACGCAAAGGCATTCCACCGAAAGCGCGTCGTGCGTTTGTATGAACGTGTTCACGATTCTTTGAACGATTTTTAACATTTTGAAGCGTTCCTGCATGAAAAGCTCACCCATGAATCTATACAAATTGTTGTGTATTACGTTTAGAATATATTACATCGATTAATATTTTTAATATTTAAGTCCGAATTTACCTGCAGGTTCCTAGCGTACGAACGCGAGTTTTATGATCGAATTCTTCCGATTCCTGCTCTTCGCGAGGGTCGTGTCGACGGTCTGTACGCGAACTCGCATCAAAACGTTCCTTATTGGGCAAAACGCCTGCATTCCTTAAGATGTCTTGACACGATTTGATCAACTCGTGTTTGAACTGTCGCGGGAGCCCTTGACATACGGTCAACCTCGAATCCATAGACGCCTTTCCGATGGCATGAGAACACAGTTCTGCGTAAATAGTGCTGTTCTCGGGTCTTTCAATCGCCTGCGCATATTGCAGATCGTTAAATAACTGTTATACACATAAGTGGATGCGGAAAAAAATTATAAAAAGCCGTAATATTGCGCGTGCCTGTAACACTATCAGATCTGTGACCTTCCCCAAGTAAAATCGATTTGCATGGTTCGCTTGGACAAGAACATCGAAAAACAAATCGACACTCTGGGAAAACGTGTCAGGTGTAACGTCTCTCATCACAGCCGATGCTCTTTTGACATATTTCTGAAAACAAAGTTTAAAATTAGCATACAGTTGTTTTTCGAAAATTATCGTTACGTCACACGCAAATATGATAAAAACACACGCCACCGTGTTTCTATATCACATGGTAATTTCTTATTATTCATTCACATAATAACACCAAATGTTTTTTATAATATAATTATTTCACGACTCGCGGCCGGCATTAATCACCTCGTGCACTCTAAGAATATTGAACGGCCTTTTTGGTTGATCGTTGGTCATAGCTGGTATTTCCGCTGTAAATGCCGTGGGTTCCGTAACTTCCGAAATTCGAATGACAGGCGTGTTCGTTTTTATACGAGGATTCTGTTCATTCCATCGAATCAGTGACTCATAATCAGGAATATTATTTTTCTGCGATTAAAAATGTTATAAGGTGATAATTTTTTTTAATTTTATGTTTACAACTTTTTTTTTAACATTAAAAATTTTCATGTGTCAAAAACATGACAAACAACCCATGATTCGTACCGTGTCAATCGAATTATTCCACGACATATAAGTCAATGCCGTCCAGTCGCTTGTTGCTTCTGAATTCACCGTAGAAACTATGGTCGGATCTGAAGATTCCCGGCGTTTATTCTTCAATATTGACTTGCTTGAATTATTTTCGCAAGTCAGTTCTTGTCGTTCGTTTTCTCGGCATGACATGGTATCAATTTGTCCGTCCTGTTTAGTATAGATTTTAAATACTTTAGTATCATTTAGTATATATCATACCAATCCCCGCCGGTTAAGGTATTTTTTACCTCAGGAGAAATGGTATTAATAACATTTGACGTCTCAGCTTCTTGGTTAATCGGATTATCGTCAGTGAAATTTTTGGCGTTGTTGACAGCTGCGCTCAATTTTTGCAACAAATGCGTTCGGCACTGACGCATACGCGACTAAAATGTACGTACGATAAAGCAATATTGTCAAACCAAATCTTAGATTATCAATAGTGATAATATTCTAAATAAACATACCGATTCTATGGAACTCTTGGCCGATGAACGGTATGGTCCGATTTCATAGGTCATTTCCAGTTCCGTATGCAAATAATTTATTTTTAAGACCAGCGGCGATTTATTTGTTTCCATAAAGTCGGAGAGATCATTTGAAATATTTATCTCTCCATCGATCAACACAGTGTCGTTGAATAGTTTCAGTTCCTTTCCAGGCGCGTGCGGATCATACAATTCGGTCTATACGTAGATATACATAATATATACATTATAACGGAGTTGACATTATACAAATGTATGATTATATTTCTTCGAAAATCATTACACTGACCTCTGAGTATATGCCGTGCATGGAACCCGCCGAATCGGGGGTTTCGTTTTTTCTGGCCAAGTCAAAACATATCATTGAAAACCTATTGGTATACCCGCAAAATATTCTTAGTTGGCACAACAAATCTCGTTTGCACTGGTATACACAAATCTGGAAAAACGAATGATTGAAAAATATAAACGGTAAAACAACCGACGAATGTGTTTTTATGCGTACGTACCGATTCGTTAACACCAACGACTGAAGCGCTTATCGCCGAACCAATGCTGTAACGGACTTCCAATTCGGTTTTCTTGTACATGATTTTCAGTTCCAGTGAACTGTTCATAATTCCCGAGAAGTCGCTGAGCTGTTGGTCAACTGTACGATTTCTCATCACATTCAAACAATACATTTGCATGTTTCTTATCATTTGACGGACGGCAGAATGGCGATCTTCACAAGATTGACTGCTAGAATCCATTGCGTTGAATCGATGTACAAAACTTTCTCGAGACGGAAATATTTAATTATTTGCTATTACGATTTGTGATTTTGTATATGAAATATTTCAACTATTAAAAATTCAGTGTTATTTAATAATTCGTCTCTCTAGAGCGTATTTGGTTGTTACGTGCATGGTATAAAATAACAACTGTTATTTATTCATTCATAGTAGCCAACTATTAATGTATACTTGCATTACATATAAGCCAATAGGCATAATTATTTTCCATTCAAATTGTATTATTCTTATGCAATTATATTTACATTAGAAATAATAATTTTTTGTTTATACCTACATCGTTTTTTCTGGACTTCACCATTCCGATCATATTTATGAATGGAAAACTGTTCCTATATTAATTGTTATATGTACTCATGGTGAAAATTCAGCGGTTTTTAGGTTTTTGAATTTCGGCATTCGGGGAAAATTATGTTTTGTTAAATCTTAAAATGATTTAAAATAATATACATCTGTATCCATAGAATATAGTAAAATATATTTCATAAAATTATATAATTTTTTTAATTTCAGCTCGGTAAAGAAAGTAAGAACTTGAAAAGTATGCTACACTCTATATCTTCAAACTTTTTCTAATTTCAGGTATACGTCCTGCATCCACGTAGTTCTTCAAAATATATAATTTATATTTATTACTATTATAAAACCATTAATCCGCTTTATCTCCACGTTATGTGTCGCTTTATATGATATTATTGCTGTGGACATCAGACGTAGAATCATTATGCCTCAATCTTGTTTATTTTTCAAATGCAGAAAAAAATTGTTCAGTTTTTATTACTTATCTTGAATGATTTTATTATATACAAAAAAATGTTATCAAATTTAATTTCAATCTTTAAAATTATCATCTTTTTTTCTTAGAAAATCATAGATTCAAATTATGTTGTTTTCAATTGATTAAAACAATAAATTATTTTTTTTATCTCATTTAAAAAAGAATATATTACTTATTAAATAATAGAAAAGATTATTAAATTTCATAAGATTTTTTTTATAAATATTATTTATTTCCAAAAATATAACTTCGTAGTTATAGTTTACAAATCAGACTTTACAATAGATGTTTAAGATATTCGATATGGTAAATATATGTATGTATATATGAGTATGTATACATTGAGTAAACATTTGAGTAAATTTTTTTATACTGCTTACATAAAATTGACCCAAAAAAACCGATTGTAAACGCACTTTAATCGCGTCTTTTTGTCATAAAAACTGGAAATCGAAAACATGATGGGCGCAATTGATTGAGTTGATATAACGCATTCGTACATTTATACAACCTTCAAATTAGAAAAGTAAAACAAACAAAATAAAAAATTATCGAACACTCATCGGACAAACGGATAAACACAACATTAACAACAAACGGAGACAGGTGGATGAACGAAAATAGCGGTAAATAGAAAACAATAATGGCCTCGTCGTGTTTTACTATACGGTTAACCGTTTTGCACGTAGTTTACACAAAGATAACAATTCGTATTCGAATACGTTTCGTAACGAATACTTAATAGCTGGTGCTATACAGAGTGCCCATTTTAATACGTACACTTGTCAACTCGGTCAATCAGTGTTTTTGAAAATTCATTTTTATACAACTTCAACAATAGGTACCGAGTAAGTTCAATCAGTTACTTCAAAATAAAGAACTTCAATTTCACACTGTTTAATAATTTTTATTTCATTAACTTTTCTCGTATAACAACTAATAATATCCACTTTGTATTATGAGTATGATTTTTTTTTTTAACACGTCAATTTGAAAACAACTAACGTAGATCTGGGAGACCGGGCGGTAGTTAATTATGTCGAATTAATATAAATATATAAATATTATATCAGATTAATATTTCATATTAGAATATGAACTAGAAAAACACGAGTCAAAAAGATAAAAAAAAAACTTAACAATGCTGTTGAACGATGATTATCAATTCGAGTTGAGATAATTTTTCCAAAAGTGGTTGACAAATAGTCACTCTGTATATAATAACGAGCGGCAGTCTCCTTCTCGCTGTCCGGACAATCAAAACGTCTTATAGCCGAAACGTTGTGTGTACTTATGAATTATATTCGGTGCCGTTGTTGATTCGAAAACTCAACGAAGGCAGCAAAATACACCAACAACAACGGAATAGTAGAGGGGTAAGGGAAAGATATTTGTGATACTAAAAAAAACATAAGAACCCATCCGAAAACAAATCGGAAACGTATACTACATATTACGTATACGCATTTATAACGCGTACGAGTTGTAATGTAACCGTTACGACCGTCAACGATCTGGATCACGCTCGACCGGCCAGTGCGCATTATTTAAATCAATATTTCGGTACGTAAGCACAAAATATAACCTAGATCGTTGATTCGGAATGCGGTCCAATGATAATAGTATAAACGTAATGTTATCGCGTTGCTGTGCTTGGCTGTTATTGATAATATCACGTATCTGTAACACTATCGCGGTCCGGCGGAGTACCTAGGCCGCCAACGAAACGATGCGTTGACACTTATGTGGTACACCGTGTTCTTAGAGAAAAACGATTTGGACGAACCGGTAAAGAATGAGAGGGAAAAAAATGTTTTTCCGGGGTTTTAGTATAATGTACCTACTGGAAGAGTTACGAAATAGCTAAAGTTTCCTAATGTCACATAATACACGTGATGCGGTGTTAGGCGAGGGAAAAAATGCTGAAAACAGCTTACCGTATATATATTTATATGGTAAACCGGTACCGGTAGTTATCCTTTGATAAGAAAAATACACTAAAATACACGAGCGTCTCGGGAGCAAAATTGCGCGATCAATCAGAGGCATTCACATTTCTTATCATTCTTTATACAAAATATAACGTGATATTGTTATATTCTGTGGTGATAATATATTGATATTATTTTATTCTGTGATATAATCTTCAATCATACAGGCGTTATACTTAATTATTATTAACTATTATTTTTATTAATTACCCACTTTTAATTATTTATACATAATAATATGGAAGAGTTGGAAATTGGAACCAGTAACACGGAAGAGCTTAAGTGTTTAGTGTGTAACAAATATTTTAGTAACAAAAGAATTTTAAAGCGACACTCAATTACTTGTGGGTCTAAGAAATCCAAAAATATTAATAGTATACAATGCCTTGATTTGTTATGCAATAAATCATTAACAAACAAAAAAATGTTGAAATCTCATATAGAGTCAGACCATGGCGTAAAATTGAAAAATAAACAAAAAACGTTTGAAACTCTTCATGGTAAATGCAATATACTGAATTTTTATTTTATTTGAAATATATATTAGAAAAAAATATTGATAAGAAATGTGAACGCCTCTGATTGGTCACGCAATTTTACTCCCGAGACGCTCGTTAAAATACAGTAAATAAATATCAGAATTATAACTATAAAACAAAATAAGGAAAAACTATTATCGAGAGAGAATGAGAAAAAAATTAAAACAAAAAAACCAAGTGATCATAATTTTTCACATTGACTATAATAAAATACAAATATTATTAATCATAATAATTAATAAATACTACAATTTTTATCAAATCATGTAATGCTAGAATAAAATTAGATATCAACTAGACTTAATGCTGGGTAAGCATTGTGTTTAAAAATATTTTGTGATACGAAAAAAAAATCTACAAGATCAGAAATAAGCAGGGGCGACTTGGAAGAAAAATTCAAGCTAGGAAAAATTATTACCCAGGCCATATATCAATCTTTAGCTTATACGCCGTTACTATAATTGTGGGGGAGAAGGTAGAAGAGGGCTGAGCTTGTGTTATACCCCCTCCCAAACAACACTACCGATTTATTTTATAATTATTTATTTATCTAGTTCTTT